GGGCAGTGAGAGCATCGGTGACCCCCCATCTCCTCGTTAATTAGCGCTAATTTCATTAAAGGTCGGCTTCACGGCGTTTTTATTTAATGCTTCGCCCGCAGGAGTTTGACACAGTTTAATTGGGTTGTTAGATCGCTGAGGTTTTAATTTCGCTGGGGTTAACCGTGACAAACTTCAGTTAAAAAAAAACCCACAAAGGTTTAAAAATGGGGTCGGTGAGGCCCTAAATCCTTCAAGGGGAGGAGAATCAGCAGAACTTATAACAACAAAAACCTATTAGACTGGACACTGCCAGCCTGACAAAAGCACAACGAAAGGCTCAAAGAGCGTGGACAGAAACGAAAACTGATAAATCAACAACCCCTAATCTAATTAATGAGTGAGACTGTGAAATTTGGAAGTAATTAATTGGCTCTGCCCCACTCACACTTCCAGGAGCAGCTTCCTCCTCTTGAGCTCGGCGCGCTCCCGCTCGGGCAGGGCGCCCCCGGCCCTCACCTGGCCCAGGTGCTCCTGCACCGTGTCCTGCACCGAGGGCACCTGGGGGGCACGGGGCTGGCAGACCCCTCCCCAAATACTCCTGACCCCCAGGGACCCCCGTTTGTCACCCCCGAGGACCCCCACCCATTCACCCCCAGCCTGCTCCCGGCTTCCAGGGATCCCCCCCGCCCCCCGCGGGACATCCCCGGGAATCAGAGACCCCCAGACCCCTCCTCAGGACAACCAGAGACCCCCAGACCCCTCCTCAAGGCACCCCCTGCTCCCAGTGACCCCCAGTCACCCCACCTTGGGCCACTCCCGCCTCCCGGGGACCTCCGTGCCCCCTCCCCGGGGCACTCCCGCCTCCCGGGGACCCCCGCCCGTTCCCCCGGGCCACTCACGGCGCGGAGCACGCGTGGGCCTCCGGCCGCTCCCTTATCCAGCCGCACCCACTTGTTGGCCATGGCCTTGCTGAAGCCCAAGGAGCCCCCGGGCAGCTTCTGCGAGGACACAGCAGCCGTGAGCAGCGCGGCGGCCGCCGGTGCCGGTACCGCCCCCCGCCCCGGTGCCCCCGGTACCCACCACGGCCTCGCCCTGCGGCAGCCCCTCCTCGGGGATGCTCCGGAACAGCCGCACCTCGGGGCTGCCGTCCCGCAGCACCTCCTCGCCCTCGGCGCTCAGCTCCCATCGTGTGGCCGTCC